CCAAATCGGCAAGCCGGTGCGTAGCATTCATTTCCCTACTGTACGAGGGTGTCGCCATTGCATGCGCTCAGACGGGGGCGCCATGATATAGCATGGTTGTTCACGTTACGCTTGCCAAGAGCAGTCTGATTCCTTTTTTAAGACCTCTGAGGTTCAACATGATCTGCAATAGCGCCTGGAATGAAGTAACATCCTTACGCAAGGTGCTGAAAGACCGTGGCAATATCGTTGGTGACCGACCGGGCAAGGAGAGGCGTAGCTCTCAGTCGTAAATCGAGTTCCTTAAAAGCGGTTCTAATACAGATCATTGAGATACTCTGCAGGAGAGCTTCACCGTTTCCGCAATGTCGGTAGTGGCAATCTCCAACGTACTTACCGCGAAGTAGTAGCTTTATCATCAGAATGGGTGACAGTATTCCTTCCAGTCGGCTGTTACTCACGCCTTCTCTAAAGTTGGGAGGGGGTTGCGTACGACTGCTGGTACCTTCGCTTAACCCAGACGCAGTCGCTTCGAGCTTCGGCTATCGACCGGTTCGTTGTGGTAGCTGTGAGGTCTCCTACAGCCGCCACAGACCACCTGTAGCTGCCGCATGGTATCTTTCGCCATCTGCTCGGCAACTCCAGCGACCTTCAAGCTTCAGGGTCTTCATTAACTAGGGAGATAATGAAGACCCTGAAGCCTGCCTGACAACCAAAGATATTCTGCAAATATTCCAACTGGGGTTGGAACGTGGACGATGCGGCAGGTGGGTGTCCATGTTGGTAATTATGGCGGGATTGTCTCAGGCAGTGTAAACCTCGCTAAGCTCCGTTTGCTTGTGTGGTTTTCGAACCGTTCACAAACGTGAGGTCGACCACAAGGCCAGCATCAGCCCGGGAAAATGCGTGTTGCCCCCATGAGTTTAGGAGCTAACATTGCGCAGTGATCTGCCGTTGGCGTTGGTGAAGCCGCTGTCCCAGTCCACCGCCCAGACATTGAAGTCATCCAAAATCATTACCGATTACTGGCCCCTGGCATCACTGGTCAGTCAGCCCACTCCGTCGCAAAACGCTGCCAGTTAGCTCCGAGCAAGGTAGACGGTTTCCAGGCTCAGGATTAATTGAACCACACCCATGCCTGTGATACAGGAGCTGCTCTGGCAGACGCCATTAGTGACTGCGCATCACCTAAACTTCACCTTATCCAGAGTTGTGAGCCGTTCAGTTTTGCTGGTCAGCACTGAGACCGTCGGAAGTAAAGGTCGGGGGCGTTGTGGGGTACAATTCAATAGCGTCAGTTTTATTGAGGGCCACGCTCCCGACCGATAAGCTAAGCTTAGCAGTGTGCGAACGGGTCCCGAGTGGTGGAGAGCGAACTAGCCGTTCCTCAGCTCGTTTATCAGTAAAAGAGTCCCGGGAACACGGGAGCGTACGATCTCGAATACCGAAGAGAATAGAGCGACAGAGGTTTTGGAAGCTCTTGACGTGATCAGCCTTAAGCCTGTCAACGTGAAAGCGGGTCACCAGGCTCAGAACCTCGCCGTAAAAAGACTGCGGAGATGGGCTTAATCAAATCAAAGCAAAGGATCTCTTTTCGCCAGCTTTCATCGGGTTCATTTCTTGCTCCGCTCTAGGCCCAACCGGAGCGAGGGTGCATTGTTGTCCCCGCTGGGGCGCTGGGTCCCGGCTACCTGGCGATCCTTGCGGCCGCCAGCACCCATCACAGTCACCACCAAAGTTACCCGCTACTGCGATTCCCAATATCAGGAAGCCCCAGGAATGAACCTATAAGGGGAAATGCCAGATGAGTGTCTTACGCTACGGTCCACCCGTGTTGGGGTAGTGTCCGGGGATTTATCGGCGAATCATATACCATATATTTTTAACAACTTTTTGGTGTCATCGACCCCCTTCAATATCTTTTTCGGCTCGGCCAGGAGATTATTATCTTGGCCCTCCTAATGCGAACAGGACTTAATGGGCTTTAACGTCTATAGGCCTAGACAGCATTGGTTTATTAGGAGGAGGAACGGCTGGCTCCACTCACTCTTCTTTTCACCCTGCCCTGGTAACTTTTCTCTTCCTTTGGCAACCAGATGCGTGCTCTGGGTCTCCGCGGAATCTCCTTGGCGTAGACTACCCTAATCTTAACGCCAGCTCTCACAGTCGGACAGGAAGATCCTTGAAGCCTCGTCGATGCACCTCTATACTCGTAGCCCCCTGACCACGTCTGAGAGCCGAGAAAGCGGATGGGACCGGTCGGCATGTTTACCAATCTGTTGGTACCATGTCTTGGCATTAGTCATCTCCCACTTCTCGACAGCAGAGCCATAGAGAGTCTGTCTCTGGCCACCTCGCTAAATTTCTTTGCATTTCTGACAAAGATTGTCGCTCTAGGTGCACTCTCGCCCATTTTGCGATTGTGCTTTGGCTAAGAGGGCTGGAACGCCGCCGGGCATTTTAAAAGTTGCCCAGGTCAGCCCGACTACAATTGAGAAAGGTTATAGTCGAGGAACGAGTACAAAACTATACTTTATTCGTGCAAGTGGTACAAAGCCCTGAGATATTAGAAATGAATTTTTGCTCTATTTTGGTTCATCAGAGTATAAAAGATTGTCAATCTCCTACTAAATGCTTTAAATGCAAGGAAAACGGTCATAATGCAAAAAAATTATCCAATTGTAGAGACAAGTGTTCGCAAGGTTGTTGACCAAAGCCGTTTCAAATCATCTCTGTTAATGGTGTGGAAATAGATTGCTTGATTGTTACAGGATCAGATGTATAGCTCTAACAAAACAAATATCTTGTCGTACCTTGATAACGTAATGGATTGTAGAGCTTTGCACGGAATGATTTTACTATAATAGATTTAAGCTGACGGGGTTTTTAGCGCTCGAATAAATAAGCGGATTGATTTGCTTACGATGTTAATAATATTATAGAACATAAAACTTGTTTACTGTTTTTCCCTAGCACGAAGGAGACGTGACAAAACTCATTGAAGATGTCCAGCAGAAGGCATCAAAACCTTCAAAGTTAGCAGAGTTGTATTAGTCAGAAAGAATGACGCTACTCTCTGATATTGAAGAGCAATGTGTTGGCAGATCGCTTTCCTGTACCTCTGATGGTAGAAGAATTTAAAGAACTACAAGTGGATGCATTTTTTTTTTCGACACTGGATCTGGAAAATGGATCTTTCCATGAAGCTGTGGAAGAGGCTAGCAAGGCGTTAACTGCTTTGGTAAAAAAAAGAAGGACTGTATAAAATTAACATTACTCTATTTGGTTTTAAGATTTTGCCGGATGCATTTACAAGGTTCATAAAAATAATCATAATTAAAAGAAAATATATCTGCAGGATTTTAGCTTCGTTGTTTTCCACAAGCCAAGGGACAAGGTGAAGCTTGAGCCGACAGCCAAAGTTGGTTTGGATCGTTCCAGCAGAAGCTGCAAAACGGAGCCAGAACTCACAGCAGAATGATGATTACATGGAAGGATCCTGGTAATTTTCCGTGATATCCTATACCGAACAGTCTAAGGCAACAATTTTATAGTTTAGTCGAAATTGATGAAAAGAGATGTCATTCGAAATTTACAATCAGTCGGTTACTTTGTAGTTCAGAAAACCGTACATTCGGTAAAGCACCTGTTTTGGATCTCTCACCTGGAGAGGAAAGTTCCACATTTTAATGTTAACTGTATTAAATGTATTATTAACTGTAGGAAGATTGGAAAGCAAGAAGGGTTCTACATTGCCAAAGGAGATGTCCTATATCACACGTTGCCCATCGACCACTTGGGGCCGATGGGAGCCACATCGAAGTGAAAGAGCGTTTACGAAAGATTTTTAATGAAGAGTTTGTTTCACATTTAAAACTTAAGCGAGAACAAATGCGAGAAGGAAGAAGAAGCAAGTATATAAGCGAAACTATGACAAGCGTCGTCACATCTATAGATTGGGTGATCTCGTCGCAATCAAGTTGATTAAATTCGTCGGAGGAAGGAAGCTGACGAGGCCGTATTTAGGATCGTATGAAGTTCTCTAAATAAAACAAAATTACTTATAATAAGTCCGCAAGGCAGCTTAAGTCGAAAGAACTTATCAAGTACCAGCTGTAGAAATTCATAGCCGATAACGATGAAGAGTTAGCGTAATCTGGTTCAGATGAAGATGAGCATGAGGACGGACATAGGTACGTTCGACAGCGCACAGAAATGAAAAATACGGGAACGTATAAACGGGTGAACTTTTAGAAATTTGGTGGCCAGAGCTGTAACCATAGTAAACTATTCCAAGTTTAAGGCAACCAGGAAAGTTTTTGTTTTTTTTTTGTAATAATTAGATTTCCAATTATAAATTATTTAGTAAAATTTGGAATATAAATATTTAAGGTATATTTAAAATACAAACTCTTTACATTCAAAATATTTATTCTTCTTAAAAGATTGTAATGACAAGAATAGTTGAAAAATTAAATTGAAATTAAGCAATCCAACAATCTTGCTACACTAACCATAGTTAAATAATAAAAATCACAAGCATTTAGTCTAAAGAGTCTAAAAACATTATTTCATTATTTATTTGTGCTATTATTACACTTGTTAGCCCTAGGCAAGTTGCATAACCTAACTTAATTAATTGATTCCGTAATCCTATTATAATATTTTTTTTTCTGTAACTTAGGCAAAATGACATTGGTTTGCGACGATACCAAACAAAGGACTTGTTTCTACATCTCCTTATTCCCACCCTAACAGTTATTTTCACTGTGGTTCAACTTCATTACTTTCATCGACGTTTCATGGACTCTGTTCGACGACCAAAACTCAGTGTACGAAAACGGCGTGGTTCCTATTTGATATTTCCTGAGAAAAGTGATACTCAACTGAAAGCGTTTGATGTACATAGGCAGTCATGGAAAATTTTCTTTTCAGCAGGATATCAAAAACTACGTAGATTAAGTCATCGATTGTTTCGACCAGGAAAACTCATGGCTTGGGGATTTTTAGAAATTCACACGATAAAAGCTGTTATTTTGGCGTCTTTTCATTGTGCGATTTCAGAAGTCTCTGTTCTTAATATTTTTTAGTGCTTATGTCATTAATAAGTGTTTGCGTCAACCGATATTTAAGACGCATTATTTTTAGGTTAGTAACTTTTTGGGTTTCAGTGCTGGTGCTAATGAAAATGATTTATCAAATAAAATATTTCGATGAACGGAAATACGACTATAAATGCGTAATATTAATTAATTATTAATTTAAAAACCAATTTAAAAATTTTTGTTTTAGAATAATGAATCCATAAATTTTGCGGAGTGGATTGGCTTGCACAAAACGGAACAAAAATTTGTTCTGTACTTAAGCTACATATCTCCATATATTGTGTATATGATAATCACATCATTGCATGCTGTGGTTAAGCTTCGAAACCATTTAATACGGTCTTCAATGTATGAACAAAGAGGCGGAAAAGTTTTGTTTCCAGGAATTACAAGGCAAGATGCAGAACGGGATTTTCCAGAACTCTTAAAGTATATGCTTAATTATGGCTATTTTAAATTTGGACTTGAAATAACGCTTATTGGACTTGTATCAACCATTGTTCATAGACGCGATCTTATTGCGTTGACCTATTTAATTTGGATTGTATTAATTTTATGTCTTAGTCGAGTACAGTGTGCCCGAATTTGGGAAATATTTCAGCTATACTTTGTTTTGTCAATTCTTGCTCAATACCTGTACATCTTGAATTTCCCACCTAATCTATGTGATGGTTACTGTAAGTTTAAAACATTGATTTATTAAATTCTAATTAAAAAGCCTCTTACAGCAGCTGGACATAAATCATCATATATGATTACCAATACAACTATCTGGAGTATGTCAAATTATTCAACAAAATACATGCATAAATCAAATCTCATGCTTGATTTTATAATTCTTCTACTTATTTCAAGGCAGCGGAAGTCATTTAAGGCAGAAATGTGGCATATCAAAGATTTATCTTACCCAGGTGGCGATAACATTAACGTCGTTTATAATATCGCTAAACTTGGGCACGTTTATTTCGAAAATCCAACTCATGATTTTTGTTCATATGTTCGTAACTATGCGGATGTTTTTAAAACAGCAATATTTTGTAGTTTTTTTTGGATTACGCTTGCTATAGTATTTATGGGAGGAGTTTGCAGTATGGATATTCTTTCATTAGGCTATATAATATTTGCTTTGATTTTTTTACTTCAGGGCTCTGAGGTATACTTGCAAAACATTCACTATATCATCTGCCGCTGGAACTGTCTAATTGCTTTCAATATTTTTAATATAATTGTAAAAGTTTCAATTATTGTATTGGAGAGATTTATAAAAATTGAAAGAGAATCAATGTTGCGTGCTCTGTTTACAATAATGCACCAAAATGAAGATAACAATAATGACGGATACCATTATGGACCAAAAATTTGATATTTAGGAACACCCTTGTGTGGCATGCTATTATTTTTTCTTTTATAATTTCCAATATAGAATTTTCTGTTCATATTTTTTTTGTCATGTTATTAAGGACACTCAAGCAAATACCATTCTTGCATCAAGGTAAGTAACTTTTTTTAGAAAACCACTTGTTGTATTTTGTATATTATCCATCTCTCTGCCTTTTATACACGGTATTTGGGTTTTATTCAATAGTCCATAGCTTTCCCTAAGCGACGTTTGACACTTTCAGGACACGTCATCCACGCGTGGGCTTGGTTTACGTTTCTAACCTTGCCTTACCTTACCTCCAACCATATTTATCTATCCTACAGACACCGATGACACGGATAAGAAAAAATGCTTCACACTATAAATTTGTTTCTGGCATTATTTTTAAACTGTATGACTATTTTTAATAGATATCATTGGATATTTATTTGTCGGTGCTTATGCCGAAGCTAAGCCGCCATGTTTTTGATAAGATTTTTAATCTGCAAATAAAGTCCAAAGAGTGAGAACGAACTTCCTCTCCAATTCCAGAAACCATCTCATTTTTTGTACTTTGGTAATTTGGGATCGCAAGTCATCAATAGTCTGCAAGAGTATAAAGACCTTATGACACGTATTTATAGGGTCTTCCAACTGAAATCAATCTGCCTTCGTCCATCAGTTAAACAGATAGTCCGCGATTCTTAACCATTCCGAAATTCTCATTCTGTTCTACAGCAGTGGGATGTGCGTCAATCTTAAACAAGCTTCGTAAATGGCTTTTAGCCATTTGCAAATGCTATCCTGGCCGAGCTCACTCTTAGGTTTCCTGGGAAGTGGGTGTCAACTAGTAGCTCGAGTGACTCCTCAATTGTCGTCGTAGCAGAGCCGTCTGCTCTGTTTATCAGGGTAGGGCTTATGTGCCCCTTGGCGAGAATTTTGCTTACTCACGCCGTGTCCCTTATGCCTTCTAATGCTGCGCAGTAGTTTTGCCAGGACTCTTTCTTATCCTTGTATATTGCCTTTTTGTAAGTTTTTTGTGCTTCTATGTATGTTCCCCAATCCCAGGTTACTGTTGTTGAAGGACTTTCTCGCGCTCTTTTTGAGCTCGCTTAGTTCCTTTGTCCACCACTGTGGGTATTGCTTCTTCGAGAATGTTAGCTTATAAGTCTCTTTGATGGCCTTGTTCATGAAATTTGGTAGGTCATCCACCTCCTTGTCGAGTGCCTTTGCAGTGGATATAGGCTTGATCCTCCTGCCGTTTACTTTAGATTGGACAATTTCGCAGAAATTGTTCCAATCTGCCTTACGGGGGTTCCTTCTTGGCACCTGTTTACTACCTGGTGTGTTAGTTCAATAAAAATATACCTTCGGTCTGAGAAGGAGTGTTCTGTCGATACCCTCCAGTTCTCGACTCTGTAATTATTGTATTCTATTTGCAATTTCCCAACCTTGAAAATTTTCCGTGCTCGGAAAGATGAAGGTCTGCGTATTACCCTTATTACATACCGTAACGATTCTACAAATAATATTGTCAAAGAGTAACTCACCTCTTTCGTTTGTCTCCGAACTCCCACAGAGCGTGTGCCTCGCATCCGCATCACACCCGAGCACCAGGGTCGTCTTCATCACTTCCGCCCATTGCAGCAGCTTGACTATCAGCTCAGGCGTCATGGGCCATGTACGCCAAAGATATGGTGACTCCGCTCCCATCCGCCGCCACGAATCTGGCCACTACTAGGTCAGGTGTGCTGAGATTGGGACAGAGAAAAGCATTAAAATGATTCTTAATTACAATGCAAGCTCTCGACCTACCATTCGAGTTTGTGCACAGTAGTATGTATCCTTGGATTCTCAGTCCAGCGACTTGCCCGTCCCTGGTCCAAGACACCTGTATCAAACCGTATCGATATTCCTCCCCTTAAAATGATCGTGAGATTAGCTGAAGCATGCGAACTGCGCTTCAGATTAATCTGCACGATTCTCGACATCTATGTTGGTCGGGGTGGCGTCAGGAGATTTGTCGTCCAACAATTTGTTGGTGAAATCGACCTCCTCCAATATCTCGTCCGGCTCGGCCAAGAAGACCTTTATCTTGGCCTTCCTGATGCCGTTCCGGACCTTGTGGTCATTGACCTCCAGCTGGGGCAGACAGCGCTTGTTTATCAGCAGGAGGAAAGGCTCGCTCGCCTTCATTTCCTGCTCTGATCTGGGGATGGTCCAGTCCTCTGTATGGATGTCTGGGTTCTGGGTGCTCAGACAGGCAATCACCCTGGCATGGTCGTTTTGCCCCTTTGGTAACCAGATGCGACCTCTGGGTCTCCTTGGGATCTCTCTGGGGTGAACTAGCCTAATCTTAAGGCCAGAACATGTGTCGCTGATCTTAGCCACACACTCCGCCAGGAAGCTATGGGAGAACCCGTTGTCACACCTGGTGACCCGGTGCCCACTGACCACGTCTGAGAAGTCGAAGGAGGGGATGGGGCCGGTCGGCATGCTAACCAACCTGTCGGTTACCATGTCGGCCACTTGGCCTCGATCTCCTCCCGACTTCTCCGACAGCAGGCGACCGTCCACCAGTGCCATAGCCAGACTGTCTCTGGCCACCTCGCTAAATTTCTTTGTCTTGCTGACAAGGTTCGTCGCACGCGGCTTACCCTGTGGGTCCTTCGCTTTCTTAGGTGCGCTTTCGCTCACTTCCTGTGAGCGAATTCTCTTCGCCTTCGAGGGCTGGAACGCCGAAGGGCTTGCCGCCTTGTATGCCTCGAATTCCATGATATCTGCAAGGAATTTGGCCTTGTCCTCGGCATCCCGAGGGTCAGTCTTGCCCTCAGCCTCGTTCTTGGCTATCTTGCCGAGAACAAAGCGGGCTCTATTGACCCTCGCTCGTCTCTGATAATGAGACATTTTCGCTATCTCTGAGGTGGTGCTCAGCTGAGCCCCACCTGTGTGTTTCGGTTGGGGAGTGCTACTCGCCCTCCCCTCGGATTGCGACTCTTCTTCGTCGGTCTCCGATACAATGTGAGATGCCACGACCAATCTCGGGCTCATCATATCCTTCTCGTCCTTCGTTTACAGTTTTTGGGGCTTATCGTCTTCCGGGAGTTCCGAAGCTCGGTTTGTTTTTTTCATATCATTTCATAAACGCCCACTTTGCTCGTCCTGGCAAGCGCAGCGAGCCAGAGGGGGTTTGTGGCTTTGAATATAGGTCTACCGTAGCTTCGTCCCAAATCTGCGGGAAGCCCACTTACGACCCAGGGTTGCCTGGCCCTGGGAAGGCTCCGTGCAGACACAGCTGGATTAACCCCTCAGCTGCGAACCTGGAAGTCAGTGTGCACGGGTTGTGTCACACACCTGACTTGAGGGGAGGCTGATTAAAGACTTCCCTAAGTCCGCCCGACTACAATTGGTCAGCATCCCCGACTGGGTACCTGCTTCCAGCCGCCCTCGCAAGGAGAGTATAGTCGCACTACCGATGGTGTACACAGTTACGGCAGATGACACAGTCATCCGTTGATCCACCTGTGCACCCTATCGGCTGACGGCCTTCGGCGGAACTCTGAGTTCATTTTCTACTCGTTGAAAATTGACCATTCTGTACGTAAATGTAATCAAAGATGGCAAGACACGAGTAAATTATGGAAGTTGTCAAAGCTGAGAACGGCTCAACCGATTCAGATAAATTTCAATTGTTTAAAAGTGACAGTTGTTTTTGTTGGCTCAATAGACGTTATTTACTTATTGTTAACGAATACAGAAAAATAACAAGGAAAAATTATGAAGTGAGCTGTGTAAGAGTTTATTTTTTGTTGAAGAATGCCTGCTATAAGGTGTTCAAACATTGGACGGCGTACAATTGCTCTCCTTCTGAGAATTATTTTTTTTAAATAATGCGTCCTATTAGATGACTTGAAATTGGACGACGTACACGTGCTGCATATCTACAAGTGAATAGTCGTAATTATCAAACACTAAATGAACGTGCCAGACAAACTAATATATCAGAATAGACTCAATTTTATTAGAAGAAGACAAGCTGTAAATTTAGAGTTGAATCGCGCTAATTCTGACAACTAATCGTTCAAAACCACAAACACCGTTGACCGTTACATAATTTGGCATTGGTGTCACATTTTTGGAAGGCTGCCGATGATTTTAATGCTGGCCTGAAGACAACTTCAGTCACGAACAGTCATTTTACAGAATTATGCCTCTGCTGCTGATTTCTCAAGAAAACTGTTGGCGCTTGGCAATGAGAAAATTCCTGTTGATGAATCGACGGGGTTGATTTCGTTCTTGCCAAATTTTTGTGAGTTCACGCTATCGAAGGAGAAACTCAAGATCAAAGTGATCCTCGGCATTACACAAAATTATAAAAATATCGATTGGATTAGTGAACGAGCAATACTAGCAGGAAAGAATAAGGACATCGATGGTTTAAATTCCATTTTTCAAAGTCAAATCGCTGGAGAACTGCATTCATACAATTCAGTCGACGACGACCAACGAGTGAGAAGCGACTAACTATCCCATGGAATTTTTGAACTCACTTGATGTGCCAGGAGCTTCGCCGCATAATTTACAGGTGAAGGTTGGCTCAATCATAATCATGCTGCGGAATCTGAATTCATTCAGCATTTTGCAATGCGGTTACCCTATAAATAACTAATGAACAATGTAATTAAACTACGATGAATTCTAATGATTTAAAAGATTCCATTTCAATTTAACTGGTTACAGTTTCCAGTTCGATTGGCTTTTAACAATCAATAAATCACTGGCCAACCGTTGGAAGTCTGTGGGATTAACCATGAACATCACTGTTTTTGGGTTTAGTTGTTTGTAGAATGTTCTAGTGTTGGAAAGCAGTGTTCGTTAAAATACATAGAAATTTTAATTATCTGCGTTTTATTATTACTCTGGGGTTATTTAAAGCATAAATTAAGGGCGAGATAAAGTTCACATATTTTTACTTCATTTTGAATATATTTTGTGAGCTTCTACCACTATAAACATTTGGTTGCATTTGAGAAAACATATATAGAATATAGAGCCGATATATTCTATCGCAATCTGAATTTTTTCTATTTTGTAACAGCTCTAAATAGTTGGTAACTTATTCCGCAAAAGCT